GGGGGGGGGGGGGGGGTTGGCCCTGCTCAGCTGCCCCCATCGCTGCCCCAGGCTGCCCCTCGCCGGCTGCCAGACGCTGCTGAGCCCCATCGTCAGCTGTGGCCCCCCCGGCGTCCTCCTCACCCGCCCTGCCATCCTGGCCATGGGTCACTGCGTGGAGGCCAGCGCTGAGAACTGGAGCATCCGGCTGAAGAAGCAGTCGTGCGAGGGCACGTGGGAGGTGAGTGCCTGCCGGGGGTGGGAGGGGAGAGGCTGTAGGGGTTCGGGGTTGTAGGGGGGATGCTCGTGTCCGGGGTGCATCTCTGCCTGGGTGCCGCAGGACGTGCTGCAGCTGGGCGCCGAGCCGTGCACGGAGCTGTACTACTGCCAGCTGGAAGCGCAGGCTTGTTACGTCTTCACGGAGCAGCTGGGGCGCTTCGCCCTGGTGGGGGAGTCCCTCAGCATGGCGGCCTCCAAGCGCCTCAAGCTGGTCCTGTTCGCGCCGGCCGCCTGCCCCTCGCTGGAGTACAACATCCGCGTCTACTGCCTCAGCGACACCCAGGACGTCCTCAAGGTATGCTGAGGGGGGGGGGGTCCCCATGCAACCAACACCCCCACCCTGATCCCAGCTCAGGGTGGCACCGCGTAGGCAGGGCTGGGCTCCCAGAGTACAGCAGGCTCCTGCCCGACCGCTGCCTGTGCCATCAGGAGGTGATCCAGCTGGAGAAGCAGCTGGGTGGGCAGCTGATCGGAGCCCCTCGGGTGCTGCACTTCAAGGACAGCTACCACAACCTGCGCCTCTCCATCCACGACATGCCCAGCTCCCTCTGGAAGAGCAAGCTCCTCGCCAGCTACCAGGTGAAGAGCCTGGACGGTGGGTGGGGATGGGGATGGGGATGGATGTCCCTGCCACCCTGACTCTCTCCACCCCATCACCCCACCGCAGGAGATCCCTTTCTACCACATCTGGAGCGGGCTGCAGCCCTTCCTGCATTGCACCTTCACCCTGGAGCGCCTGAGCCCCAGCACCTGCGAGCTGGCCTGCAAGATCTGGGTCTGGCAGGTGGAGGGCGATGGGCAGAGCTTCACCGTCAACTTCAACATCGCTAAGGTGAGGGCAGGGCCGTGGTGGGGTCCCAGGGGTGACCCCAGGATGAGTTCACATCCTCACCCCCCCTGTGCTCTCCCCTAGGACACGAGGTTTTCGGACTGGCTGGTCCCCGACAGCGAGGTGGGTGCCCCGGCCCTGGTGGGACCCAGTGCCTTCAAGATCCCCTTCCTCATCCGCCAGAAGATCATCAGCAGCCTGGACCCACCAGGCACCCGGGGAGCCGACTGGAGGACACTGGCCCAGAAGCTCAACCTCGACAGGTGGGAGGATGGGGACAGGAATGGGGTGGCATGTGGGGTGGGGACTCGGGGCTTCTGTCCTCATCCTGCACCTTTGGATGGAGGCTGGCATGCTGTGGGACCCTGGGAGTGGGATGGTGCCCAAGGTGAGACCGACACGGGGCTGGTCTCAGGGTGTGGAGCCATCCCTGTGCCCTGACGTGGTCCTTCTCTTGTCCCCCCCAGCCATCTCAGCTTCTTTGCCTCGAAGCCCAGCCCCACGGCCATGATCCTCAACCTGTGGGAAGCACGGCACTTCCCCAATGGCAACCTCTCACAGCTGGCCGCCGCCGTGGCCGAGGTGGGCAAGCAGGACGGTGCCCTCTTTGCCGTCTCCGAGGCCGAGTGCTGAGTGTGGCGGTGGGGGGGGGACTCCAACCCCATTCCCAGGGGACTGCCGCCATGGGGCAGGGGTGGGCCCCGGCCGGCCCCCGGGCCCCCGCTGCCCCACAGCCCACAGGGAGGGCTGCCCAGCCCCCTTGCAAGAGAGGGATGCCCGTGCCCCACGGCGGCCGGGCCCCCCTGGCGCGGCGGTGGCTGGGCTCAGCCTGGCCCTGGGGGTCCCGCAGCCCTATGGCGGGGGGTGCGGGGGGGCGCTGGGTGTGCGTCGTGCGTGCGGTGCCGTCGTGCTGTCTGCGTGTGGGGCCAGGCGGCCCCGGGCCCCGTGCCGTGTTGTGTAAAGACCGTTTTTTTAATTCTGTATTAAGTGCATTCAAGTATTTACACTTGGCCTTATGTACATAGCGGTGCCGCGGGCGGGGGGTCTGCCGGACGTGAATGTAAATAAATTCGATATATATTGCTACGTGGGGCTGTGCCCGGCCGTGCGCTGCCCACCCCCCTCACCCTCCCCCCCAGCAACACACACACCCCACCCCATTTTCCCACCCCAGGAGTCGGAGGTGCGGAGCAGAGCATTTTATTGGGGTGATGGCAGGGGGAGCGGGTGGCTGCCCCTAGGACTCAGCCCCACGGACAGCCACGGCTGCCACAAGGGCAGCCCCTTTCCCCGAGCCATCCTCCGACGGCAGGAAGGTGACGACGCAGTTGGGCGCCAGGTCCTGCAGCGTCTGCTGGAGGTGCTGGGAGAAGCTGGGGCAAACGGGAGAGGAGGGTGAGGGGCTGGTGGCCCAGGCACCCCATGGCTCCCCCCATAAGGGCATGGGTCCCTGGTGGGTGCCTGCCACCCCCTGCCCCACTCACCATGGGTGCATCTTATACAAGGTGCCATCCACGCCCACGGTGACAGCCAGCTGGCCCAGCCCCCGGTTCTCCCGCATCTTCTCCACCACGGCGGCCAGGCCGGCGGCGCAGAGCTGGGCCGCCCGCAGGGACACGGTCTGGCACACCTCCCGCACCAGCGAACACTCCTCGAAGTTGGCCTGGAGCCCCAGGTCCCACAGGATGGCCTGTACCTTCGTCAGGGCCAGCCCATCGCTGCCCCGGACCAGGGACACAGTTAGCACCACCCTCCCCATCATCCTCGCCATCCCGCAGGCTGGAGGTGGCATCACCCTGCACGTGCCTTAGCAAGGTTGTATGGCCCCCTCCTGGGGCTCTGGCTTCACTCCCTCCACCCCAGGCTAAGGGAAGCCACTGGAGCCCAGCACTCACATCTCAATGGTGGAGAGGAACTTGGTCTTGAAGATGTCCCTGTTCTGGAGTGTGGGGCAGGTCTTGTCCTGGAACAGGATGCTTTTCTCCACCAGCGCCAGTAGGATATGGCGTACGATCTCACCCAGGTACATGCCACTGATGAGTTTCTCAAACCTGCCCCAGGCACAGCCTTAGCCAGGCACAGCCGCCCCCGGCCCCGGTCCCCTCCCCACCCCAGGGCCCTTGCCCACCTCTGCTTGCCCGGGTTGATTGTTTTCTCATCCACCATCTGGTCAAATTCGGTGAAGAGGTGATCCAGGCAGCCGTTGTCCCCGAAGGCCCCCCACTCCATGTTGATGCACATGCGGCCCTGCTCCCCCTCCACTGTGCCCACATTCTGCATCTCCTCCATGTAGCAGGCATTGGTCCCTGTCCCTGTGGGCCCCACGCTGGTGTCACCTCCACCACAGCCCTGGTAGAGCCTGGCAACCCTACAGCCATGCTGGGCAGGCTGGGGGGGTTGGTGAGGGAATGGGAGACTCCTGGGAGAGGTGGCCCTCACCCACGATGAGGCCAATTTCACATTTGGGGTCATCATAGCCACAGGACATCATGGTTCCCACCGTGTCGTTGACCACAGCCACCACCTTCAGTGCTAAGTACTGCCAAACAGGAGACAGGGACACGTGCAGCTTAGGGGCACCCAGCCAACTCCTGGAGCTGGTGCCGCTTGGGTGCAGGGTGGTACCCAGGAGATGGGGGACAAGTACCACCCCCCAGCCCTTCTCTACCTGTTTGCGCTGGGCAGCCTCCTGCAGCAGCTGGACCACATCCTTCCCCACACAGTCTGAGGCGCTGAAGCCCTTGGTCCAGTTCAGCAGCACTGCCTGCAAGAGAGGCAGGAGCAGGGGCTGGGCAACCACCTCACACCCCAGGGCCCTCCCCATCCCCTTGGGGCCGGAGTTGCCCCCCACCTTATCCAGGCCCAGCTGCTTGCAGGGGAAGGAGAAGGTGAAGCCGAGCGGCAGGACCTGCCCCTTCAGGTCCTGCCTCATCTGGAAGTCCATGATACAGTCAACGATGTGGTCGAAGAGCTGCAGAGAGCAACCACAGACTCAGGGGCAACGCCGTGGGGGTCTCCCAGCCCCCTCCCAGGTCCATAGGCAGTGAGGGGAGGGGGGAGGTGGGTAGTTCCCACCCGCTTATTCCATCACTCGACCACAGGTCCTCAGCCTCACCGCCTCGCCGGTGCCCTGCATGATGTTGGTTGGGATGACGTAGATCTGGCTGGCTATTTGGATGCTTTTCTCTGCCACACGTACCACCAGCACCCGGAAATTGGTCCCCCCCAGGTCCAATGCCAGGAATTCACCTTGCTCTGCAAGGAGCCAGCACAGGGGGCATCAGCAGTGCCACGGCCTCCCCGGCACCCCCTTCCCCAGCCCCCGGCCCTCACCGGTGCCATCGGGTGTGCCACGGACGTAGGTGGGCAGCATACGGACGGAGGCACTGGCATTGGTCTCCTGGCCCAACCCTAGGTCCATCTCCTGCCTCATCAGTGCCTGGACACGCTCCAGGTCGGCGCGGGTGAGCCGCAGCGGGGCCAGCAGCTGGTTCACCTCTCGGCGCTGGTCCGTCAGGCGCAAAGCCACCGCTGTCACCATCGCTGCCCCCCGCCCGGTCCCATCCTCCGAGAGCTTGAAGTTGATCAGGCACTCGGGGGCCAGCAGCCCTGTCACGGTGTGCAGGATCTCCTTAAACCTGCCAGAGGAAGGTGGCGGGGCTGGACGTGAGGCATCCCACTGAGGTGGGACTTCCCCCGGGAGCCCCGTGTCCATCCTCACCTCCCTTGGGGCTGGTACAATTCACCATCCACTGCCACGTTGATCATCAACCGCTCCAGCCCCCGGCTCTGGCGTATGAGGCTGAGGATGGCGGCCAGGCCGGCAGCGCAGAGGGCGGCAGCGCGGCTCAGCACCGCCCGGCAGACCTGCTGCACCCGGCAGCAATCCCGCTCGCTCGGCCGCAGCCCCAGAGCCTCCAGCGTCGTCCTTGCCTTGGTCATGCCTTCCTCAGAGCTGCAAAGGAGAGCGCAGCACTGACTTAACAGGGCCACCGGTTCACAGCTGGGGGCACCCACCCCCTCCTCTCATCCGCAGCAGCTCCTGGTTCCCAAGAGGGGACTCACCTGATGATCTCCAACACTTGCTGGGTCGTGAGCACACCCTTGGTTCCCAGGACGGTGACATTGCTCCCAATGAAGAGCGCTTTCTCTGCAGCCAGGGCGATCAGCGCATGCCGGACAACATCCCCCAGGTACAGGCTGCCCACCAGCTTCTCAAACCTGCGTGCAGCCCAAGCAGGGATCAATCACCCCCCTACCCCCGCAGCGCTCCTCAGCCTTTTGAGAGCACCCAAGAACATCACAGGGGTCCATGTGCTCCTGTTAGTGGGGCCTGGCATGCTCCAGGATGGAAGGGGAGCCCCAGGGGACCCTGCCCTCGCTGCGAGGTGGGAGCACCTCTTCACCCCAGGGTTGGAGGATTCCTCGTCCACATGCTGGTCGTAGGGGGTCAGGATGTCATCCAAGGCGCCATCGTCCCCAAAGCAGCCCCACTCAGTGTTGACACACATCCGCCCACTGGTCTCCTCCACTGTCTGCACGTACTGTACGTCAGCCATGAAGCAGCTGTTGGTGCCCTTGTCTGCAGGGAGCGATGGGGGTTAGCACCAGCACAGCCCCCCGCCCCAGTACCCACCACCCTGGGGTGCGGGATGCCCGTTGCTCACCCACGATCAAGGCAACCTCACAGGGTGTCTCCCTCGTGCTGCAGGTCATCATGGTGCCCACAGTGTCATTCATCAGGGCAACAACTTCTACTTGAGAGAGCTGGCCGGGGGGCAAAGCAAGAGCATCATCAGCCCCTTCACAGGGGCAGCCCCCAGCCAGGCCAACCCACCCCACGTTCCCCCACCTCCTGCTTGTTGATGGCCGACTGCAGCAACTGCACAACGTCCTTCCCCTCCACGTCACTGCAGCTGAAGCCCTTGGACCAGGAGATGAGTTCAGCCTGTGGAAAGCACGTGGCCGAGCTGTTGGTCCCTGCCACCAGGCCAGCTGGTGATGTGCTACGGAGGAGGCAGCCATGGGGCAGGGTTGTCCCACTCACCTTGTCCAGCCGTGTCTGCCTGCAGCTGAAGGGGAAGACGAAGCCCAAGGGGAGATGATTTTTGGAGTGGCACTCATCACCCAGAAACTGGCGCACGCATTGTGCAATGAAGTCAAAGAGCTGCAGGGGTGTCAAAGGCACAGCCAGGGTGACTGGTTGCTCCCTCTCACCCAGCACCAGGCTGCGGGAGGCAGCTCGGAATCCCAAGCAGCCCAGCAGCAGCCACCCTCTGCCATGGCCTCCTCGTACCGCCTCCCCCGTGCCCTGCATGAGGTCCTCTGGCATGTCAAAGGTGTGGTCCGACAGTTCGGGGCTGTAGTTTCCGTCACCCATGAGGGTCATCAATAGGGTCCGGACATGGCTCTGGCGCAGCTCCACCACCAGCACATTGCCATTCTCTACAGGGAAGCAGAGGTGGTGTCAGGCAGAGACCTGTCCCATGGCAGATCCCCCAGATCTGCACCTCACCCTGTTCCAGGAACAGTCACCCACCCACGGGAGAGGCTCTTGAGAGCCTGAGACCACCACAGGGGCCAGGGGACCCAGCTCCTGGCCTCTACCCCCGCACCGGGGACTGGCAGAGGCAGCACAAGGGCAGCTTATGGACCCCATAACTGGCCAGAGACTGGTGTACCCCAACCCAGCACCCCCAGGGCCATGTCCAGCGAGGCATGCAGGGCTGCAGGTAGCAGAGCAGCCCGCCCCCAGGCTGTGCTGTCCTACCCGTGCCGTTGGGTGTGGAGCAGATGTAGGTGGGCAGCATTTTCACGGTGGCCTGTGCATGTGTCTGGCGGTTCAGCCCCTTGTTCATGGCCAGCATCATGCGGGCCTTGACCATCTGCAGCGATTCCAGCGGGATGGTGAGCGCCAACAGGACTCGTTGTACCTGGGGATGGCTCGTTAGGGGAGGTCTGAAAGGTAGGGGATGCCTTTCGCTGCGTGCGGGGCAGGGACGGGCCTTACCGGTGTGCAGGCAGGACCATCGCTCCGCTCGCCCGGCTGAAGGCCCATGGGGGACCTGCGTGGAGGGAGGTGGCATGTCACCTGCTGAGCCCCAGCCCACCGGAGGACAGAGCAGAGGCCTGACTAGGCCTGAGCACACAAGGGGGCCTGTCCCCGGGTTCTGCCTCCCACCTCCCCTCGGCCGCGGTCTCAACAGCATCGTCACTTGGCAGTGTCCTTCCACTGCAATCGCGACCCGGGAACCGGGGGTAGAGGGGACACCTGTGCCCCACGACGGTGAAGATGCCCAAGCCGTCCTCGGGGGCCACAGGAGAAGGGAGATGCCCCTGCCTCACCCTGCCCGCCTCTCCCTTCCACCTGCAAGAGGCAGAAGGCTGGTCTCTCCTCTGCCCGGGGAGATGTAACACCCGGAGGGTTGGGCAAGGCGAGCCTGCTCAGCCCCATCCCCGGCCTCCACCCCACGCCTAACTCCACTCGGCCGTCGCCCCTCACGGGCTCGGGGTCTTTCAGCCCCTCTCATCCCGGCCCAGACCCCGCCGGGGTAGGGTGTCCGACCTGGGGAGGGTGGGGCTCGCCCCCTCACCGTACCGGTCGGGATAGCGCCTGGAGCCGCGGCGCTGGGGGCTGGCCATGGCTGCGGGGCCGGTGATGGGGCCGGTGATGGGGCCGGTGATGGCGCCGGGGCGGGGGAGGAGGAGGGGGGGGTGGTGGTGGTTAAACGCCACCGTTGCTAAGGACGCTGCCGTTACCCCGGCAACAGAAACAGCGCCCCCGCCCTGCCATTGGCTGACCCGCCGCGCCGCCGGCCCCGCCTCGACCAATGGGCGGTGCCCCCGCCGGAGGGGCCGGGCAGCAGCGCCCCGCTCCCCCCTCAGCGCTTTTACATTTGGAGGCCGAATTTTAATTAGCTCGTGCCATTAATTCAGCCACACAGTGATGAGCGCTCTCCATAAACCCCCCGTAAGCAGGGGGAAGGTGCCCACAGGGATCCCCACGGCTCAGCCCTGACGCTCCGACCTGCCTTCGCTGCCACCACGGGGAGCGGGCACAGGGCGGCAGAGCCTGGGCACCCAGGGAGGACACCAAGGACGCGGGGACACAGCAGGGGACACAGCAGTGGCGGCTCCAGCGGTCTCCGCATCCTCCGGCTGTCAGCTGGCACCAAGGTGCCCTCCACAGCTCCCAGCCGGGAAAGGCAGGGATGTGCCGCTTCACGGAACATCAAGCGCCGCAGCCCCCCTACCCCGGGGGGGACCCCGAGCTCACACCCCCCCCAGAGCCCGAGGACAGGCCTCAGGGAGTGTGATTTTGGACGCACCGTCTGCCGTTTCCTCCTCTCCTCCCTCCAGCGCCTCCCATTCCCCAGAGAAAGACAGCACAGCTCCTCCGTGTTGCTGTAGTTTCATAAAAAGATACATAAATATATTTCCATTTCTTTAACAGAGAGCAAAGCTGCACAGGCACCTATAAAACACACAGTCACTCTCCCCACCCGGTGCTCCCTGCACGGATCGTATAAAACATACAAAAGGAGGGTGGGAGAAGAAGGCTGCGGGTGAAGCAGGGGTACGGTGCCGCACAGACCCTCGTCAGGGCATGGGGGACACATCATCGGGGCTGGGGGGGGCCACCCCCACCGCTGGCCTCAGACCTTGCGCCTTCTCCGGCGGCAGCCTTTGGTCTGCTGCTGGCTGCCCAGGCGAAGAGCCGCGTGGGGCTCCAAGTCCACCACGCAGTCCGGGGCTTCCGAGAAGGAGACACCAGGTTCCACAGGGGAGATGTCGAAAGGAAGGTGCCGAAGGAAGCTGGGGCTGTCTGCCGCCGGCCCCCCGGCTCTGCGTGAGAGCACAGGGGGGGACTGTTGGTCTCCTAATCCAGCGAGAGGTCCCCTTGCATCAGCATCTGAAACGAGAGCGCACACGTCAGCCCTGCCTGGCCACCCTCCCTCGGGACCAGCGGACAGAATCACTGAATCACATGGGGTTGGAAGGGACCTGGAGATCATCTAGTCCAACCCCCTGCCAGAGCAGGTCCACCCAGAGCAGGTTGCAAAGGAACGTGTCCAGGTGGGTTTGGAATGTCTCCAGAGAAGGAGACTCCACCACCTCCCTGGGCAGCCTCTTCCAAGGCTCTGCCACCCTCAAAGTGAAAAAGTTCCTCCTCATGTTTAGATGGAACTTCTTATATCCAAATTTGTGCCCAACTCTTCTTGTCCTGTCCCTGGGCACCACTGAAAAAAGACTGCCCCATCCTCTTGACACCCACCCTTTGCATATTTATTAGCATTGATCAGATCTCCCCTCAGCCTTCTCTTCTCCAGACTAAAAAAAGACCCAAGTCCCTCAGTCTTTCCTCATAAGGGAGATGCTCCAGGCCCCTCATCATCTTCGTAGCCCTCTGCTGTACCCTCTCCCTGTCCTTCTTGAACTGGGAAGCCCAGAACTGGACACAGTGCTCCAGATGGGGCCTCACCAGGGTGGAGTAGAGTGGCAGGACAACCTCCCTCGACCTGCTGGTCACACTCGTCTTGATGTACCCCAGGATGCCATTGGCCTTCTTGGCCACAAGGGCACATTGCTGGCTCATGGTCATCCTATTGTCCACCAGGACTCCCAGGTCTTTCTCCTCAGAGGTGCTCTCTAGCAAGTCAACCCCCAACCTGTACTGGTACAAGGGGTTATTTCTCCCTAGGTACAGTACCCTATGCTTGCCTTTATTGCATTTCATCCAGTTCCTCTCTGCCCACAGGCAGGGATGTGTGCTGCCAGCTGGGGGATGGCAACCACCAGCCAAGCCCACAGTCTCCTGCTCCGGTCAGGAAGAACAGGCCCCTTCAAGGGGAATTTGCTGTCCCAGCAGAGCCCAGGACAGCAAGGGGAAAGCTGGGAAAGGGCAGCTTTGGCCCAGCCAGGCAGGCACAGAAAGCAGCTTCCCACCTGCAGACTTGCTCTCCGAGAGCTCCAGCATCCTGAGGAGTCCCCTCTCCTGCCTTCCAACGTCCTGCCAAGGAGAGGAGAACCATCGTCACAGCGATGCCTCGAGGGAACCCCATAGCCAGGGCGGCCCCTTGGCCCCATATTCCCCCATCCCACGGGGTCAGGCTGTGCACAAGAGGAATACTGCATTCCCAGGGCCTCCAGCTGAGCATGGCCAGTGGCAGGAAGGGCACTGGGCTGTGTCCAGCCTCACTGGTGCCTGAGCAGAGGCAGGTGAGAGCAGCTAATAAAGCAGATCCCGGTAAGGATGGAGGCCAGGGTGCAGGAAGCCATCCCCAAGCCCAGCCGGTGAGCTCAGGGCTACAACAGAGAAATGTGGGCACCAGGGGCTCTGCCACATCCCCCAGCACTGTGCAGGGCAAGGCCCGTCCTGCTCCAGCTGCCTGGAAGACCACTTGGGTTGGCTGCTTTGAGCCTTGCTGGCCCAGCAAAGTCCCCTCTCCTGGCTGCTCCCAGCCCCAAGAACTGCTCTAGAGGGCACTGACATCCCAACTGTGGGGTTGGAGCTGCAAAGCACCCCAAAATGTGCCTTGGCACAAAACTGCAAGCCCACCAGTGCCACTAGGAAGCTTTGCAATGGCCCAACCCATGCCCAGGCATGACCTGAGCTGCCGCCTCGGCACAAGGCGGAGCCAGAGGAAACACAGAGCCTTGCTGAGCCATCCCAAAAGACTGCCCAGCTCCAGCACCTTTCCCCCATGCTCTGTGCCCATGCCTGCATGCCCAACCCCACACACCAGTCAGCTGTGGGGCGCAGGGACAGTCAAGCAGTCCCCATGGAGCCGGTCACATGCAGGAGCAGCCGTGCCCTGCGGTACTCTGAACCACACAGCGCTTGGCTGTATCCCAGCCAAAATCATCAACCAGAAATCTCATCATTTGCATCTGAATCCCCAAAGGGTTGAGGCCTGTGATGGATTTAAGGGATTATAGGAAACTAAGACATCATGTTGCATCTTCATGCTGAGAATCACATTTCTGAGCGCAGGCAAATCCGCAGCACTAGGGCATTGCCCGCAGTAACCAGCGGGAAGGCCCGGAAGGACCCTCTCTGAGCTCCCCCAAGACCACCGTGAGCAGGACACGGCACAGTGGGGGCCAACACCTGGCGAGAGACTGAGCCAGTTGCCACCCACGCTCCTGCCTCCCACCTCCCCTAGCAAGGCACGTTCCCCATGCCCAGCACACCTCCACCACACTCGCTCCCCCACATTTCTCCGGGGATGCTGTGGTTTGCTCCCGGAACGCAGCAGTTCTCCCCGCTCCGTCTCTGAAGCCTTCCCCATGGGAAAGGGCTTGTGGATAAGAGTCAGATACACTTGTCACCCTAACACTGCCCTCCACTCCATCTATATTCAGCCGAGGAAGCCTGCAGGACTGTCTGGCAGCGGGACAGCCCTGGCTGCCTGCCTGCTGGAGAGGTTACTGGCAGCTCCGCTGGATTAGCTCACCCCTGGGACCGGTCCATGCTCTCGCAGAGCCACACGGGAGGGAGGGCAACGAGTTCTCTGGCCACGGTAGCCCACAGGGGCGGGCAATCCTACACCAGGTCGGTTCATCCCGTCAACCAGGGAAAACTGCTCCTGCTGCCAACCCAGCCCCAAACCCAGTGCAAAGCAAAGGAGATGGTGTGCAGGGTTGCCCCTCACCTTGGTGCTTCGCAGCCTCCTGGTTCCCTGAGCTTGCCTAGCAGCCTGAAGGCAGCTGTCCACGTGCCTCTGATACTGCAGCAGTGGCACCAGTGACTTACAGAGGTAGCACTTCTCACACCTGCCAGGCAGCAAAGGACAGAGCACTGCATTAGGAATGGCCCTGCATCGGGCTCCCAGCCACTGACGATGGCTTTTCCTCCTCCAGGCCATGCCACAGAGAAGACACATCACCAGATCGGGTCTCGCTCAGTGGGGTCAGGCCGGCACCAATTGCAAAGACTGAGTGATTATCGGTTTTCCCTGCCTGTTCCCCCGTATCCTGCTGCTGCAGCAGTGGGACGGTAATCAAATCTGCTCATCTAACTATCTCAAACACCGCTGATTTCTCCCCAGACATAAAGCACCCTGTCAAAATCCACAGAAATGAAGTGCGAGGGCTTTGCAAAGGGGAGTTAAATTCTGCCTGAAAAGCAAACCAAGTGTGTTAAATCAGAAAGACATTTTACCAGGGCTGGATGAACCTGTCTGACTAGTAAATCAAGTCTTTCTCTGCACTGTCTCCATTTTATATCATGGCATGTTGGGAGAGGAATGCAGAGCACACGCTCCTGCTGGGGGGCTGGCACAGCGTGTTCCTCAAACCCCCTCATTTGTGTAGATGTCCAGGCTCACACAGGACGACTGAGTGTGCTTGGGAGGAAAATTATCCTGGGTGAAAGGAGATGAAGGTCAGATGTGGATTTACACAGCTACACTCGCTTCCACACCAGCTCTTGGCTGGGACTGAACCGTGCAGAAGAGGGCACTGGTTCTTCAGGAGGGTGGCATCCACCCAGGGAGCTATTCGGGAATGGACCATCTCCAAGGAGATATGAGCCCCCAGGGACCAGCCCAAGCAGCATTGTGTTCAGTTTGATAAGCAGTACTCTCCTAGTAAAACTCACCCCAGGCTCTAAAATGCATATGGAGAGCCCCCATCGAGCAAAACTCTGCAGCACTTTTCCCATATTTTCTTTCCAGTCAGTGCTGATTACCC